TTTCTTTTGACAAGTGGCTCCTGATTGTGCCCAGCCAGACTGCGGCACTTTTGTTTGCTCAATTCTCTAAAAACATATTGTTCCTTTGCTAAGATACTATATAAACTAAAATTTTGTTTTGTTTGGTGGGGGATGGGTACTGGGGATTAAACTCAGGGGCATTTGACAACTGAGCCACATCCCCAGACCTATTTTGAATTTTATTTCAGAGACAGGGTCTCACTTAGGTGCTGAGGCTGGCTTTGAACTTGTGATCCTCAGCCTCTGGAGATACTGGGCTTACAGTTGTGTGCCATCCTGCCCAGCTTAAACTAAAATTTTAACCAAATCTTTTGAGTTACTCATCTCTGGATACTCTTATGTTACCTGCTGTCTATGAGACTCTATCTTGGACTGGCTCTGTGCTTTGCATCCTGAGTTCCTTGGAGTCATAAGAATAAACAATGAAAATTCAGTAGGCTCAGCAAATTCCCTCAAGGTGAAAGTTAGTCATCAAGTTCAGCTTACCTTTCTGAATTTTTGCCTGAAGTATTTCTTACCTGAATTCCTTACTTACTTTCCCCCCACCCCCTTGGTACTGGGAATCAAATCCAGTGTGTTTTTTACTGAGCTACATTCTTAGACCTTTTTATTTTTTGTTTTGAGATAGGCTCTCACTGAACTGCTGAGCCTGGCCTCAAAATTGCCATCTTCCTGACTTAGCCTCCAAATCACTGGAATTATAGGCATGTATCACTGTGCCCAGTCAGAATTCCTTACTTTCTTGACAGCTCATGAATACTTTAAAAGAGGATTAAAAAAATTTATATATATATATATAAATAAAATTAAGTTTACTTAGTTTTCTAAACAGGAAATTCAGTTAAGGTATGTAACAACTCAGAATGACCTAGTCATTCTCCACTGGCTTCATATCATCTTCCCATTCTCTAAATGATGAGAATGTGTCAAGGATTACTCTTTAGACTACTACTTATCACACTTCCTTTGAAGATCTCAACACTCTCAGTGGAGTCATCAGCATTGATTATTATGATAATTATATCAAAAGCTCTCAACAAGTATTTGAATGTATAATTCTGGATAGTGGTGGGGAAGATTGGAGAGTGGTCTGGAAAAAGCTCTATAAATGATGCACACATACACAGCAAAAATCTTATGACTTACACCATTTCGACCAAGACTCACTACTTTAATGATTCCAATGCCAATTACTTATGGGCATAAGAAAGTACCCCTAAGACTGACATTTTTGCTGAGATTCAGATCTACAACTTCAAATGGTGTCAACACTTTTCCCTGAATCTCTACCATCAAAACAAACTCAATATGCACATTTCAAAAGTCATCACCTCATAAAACCTGCCCTAACAATTTCCAAACCTCTATAAAAATATTAGCGAGTCTTTGAGGAATCAAGACAAATCTTTGATTCCTTTAAACAATGTCCTTTTTCTTTCCTCACATCATCACAGAGTGCTTCCTGCATTCATTCCTTTGAATTTATTTCATTCCCCTATTCTAGGTCTTTGTTAGGATTTTTGTAGTTTATAACTAACACATCTCCCTTTTGGTTTCTTTTGACTTCAATTCCTCCTATAAACCACTTTAAAGTGAATTATCCCAAAAGCAGTGCTTTGCATACTACCCACCTATTCAAATACATTTAATGGTTTATCATTGCCTACACAGAAATCTTCAACTGCTCAACAGTGTTATTTCAATAGTTGGTCAGCAATGTAGTGAATAACAGAGTGCAGAGAAGCTACAGCCCTTAGACACCCAAGACTCAGGATAATCTTTTCATTCTTGATGTTTTAAACACTAGTAAGTTAGTGTGGAACAGGATAACATTAGAAGCAAAAAGCATGTCTCCTCAGGTGATGATGGACTTTTAAAATACTGTACCATTTTTTAATCAGCCTCAGTCTACCCACCAGAAAATTAAAGATTGAAGAAAAAGTAGAACCCTAATCTCAAACTTTATATTTAGGACCCGTTAGCATGTAGTCCTTACATATCCCTGAAGGTTCTACCACCTAATTAATTACATAAACCTTCCTTCTCCAACCTGACTAGACCATTTACCATTCCTTTAATAGGTCTTGCTATTTCTACCCCCACTATGAGTGTGGTCATGTTCTTTCTACTTACTATTGTCCTTGCTTGCGAACCTAGAGGCCAAGCTCTTTCATGAAACCATACTCAATTGGCTCAATCATGGTAACTATTCCTTTCTCCAAAAGCCAGTTTGTCTTCTATACTACTCATTAGACAACTAGCATATGCCACTTACTACTATAATTTATATTGTCACAACAAGTTTTTTCTCCCTACCATAAGCACAATGAGGACAGTTATCTGACACTTCACATACCCAATATTTAGAACAATATTATACATATAATTTTCACCAAAGGCTTAATGATGTGATCTATTTACATAGCCCTTAGCATCCATATTTGGGCTGGGTGCACTGGTGCACATGCACCTATAATCCCAGTGGCTCAGGAGGTTGAGGCAGGAGGATCATGAGTTTAAAACCAGCCTCAGCAAAAGTGAGGTGCTAAGCAACTCAGTGAGACCCTGTCTCTACATAAAATACAAAATAGGGCTGGGGAATATGGCACAGTGGTCGAGTGCCCCTGAGTTCTAACTCAGTACCTCCCAAAAAGCTGAAAATGATATATCTTATCAATATCTTAACCTGAGACTCAAACTGACTTTCTCTAGATGGCAAAAAAAAAAAAAAAAAAAAAAAAAAAGCTACACTGAGGTATATAATATATAATAAGGTGCTTTTTCTTTTCTTTCTCTTTTCTTTTTTATGATGGTATTGAGGTTTGAATCCTGGGGCACTCTACCACTGAGCTTCATCCTACCCCCTTTTTAAAATTTTGAGACAGGGTCTTGCTAAGTTGCCACAGCTGTCCTCAACCTTGCAATCCTCCTATGTCAGCCTCCCAAGTTGCTGGGATTACAGGTGTGCACCAGAGTACCCGGCCATGGTCAGTTTTTTGTTTTTCAACCTACACTGCTCAGACTTCCCAGCGTGTTATAAATAGGCTAAAGATATAAGTAGACCTTGAGCCAATTATTTTATAATCAAATTTAAGAAATAAATTCATAAATATCAAAACTACTTTTCAGATATATATTTACTATCAGTGTTAATTAAACTGATTTTTCACTTTTTACTGATTTAAGAGGTATGCCTGTAGATGGTCATCATTATACAAAATTCAAGCATGAAGATGTGAATTTGGTGTCAACATACCTTATATACAAACAGAGATTTGATAAATTGTGGTATAAAGGTGTATTAAGAATTGTAATGCAAAAAAAATTAGAATTTAATGCACTCCTCTATTGTGATGTAGGTAAGAAATAATAAAAAAATTAATTAATTTTTTAAAAAAAGAATTTCTGAATATGCTGGTACACTGTAAGCCAATGAAGATAAATCATATTACTACTGAAAAAAAAAAGAGATATGCCTATAATGCAGCCCTCTTCTCAACATTTGTCTGTTGCATTTTGAAAGAACAAGAGTTATTCGTCTTTTTTCCTTAACACCAAGCATAAATGCTTATTGAATGAATCAAGAGTCACAACTCAGCTGGGCATAGTGGCACATGCCTGTTATCTCAGTGACTTTCATTTTCAGTACCATTGCATTTCTTATGAGGTTTATATAACTTATTAATTTAAAATTCTACTCTATTTTTAGTTTTGAAGGAGAATGTTTGTTAGCCATAATAGAAATTATCTTCAAACATTTCAATCATACCTGTTTCTGAGCTTCTACTTTCTGCTTTCTGGTTGGATCAATTGCATCTACCATCCATTTGATAGTAAAGTATGTTACTGCACCAAATATTGTCAAGCGGAAAATTAAACCAACAACTTCATTCCGACTCAAGGGACGAGAAAAGGCTTCAGCATGTACCATCTTGATTGTTAACCTTAAAAAACAAAGAGAAATGTCACTAAATAATAACTATATTCATTAACATTGAGAGACTATTAAAATGTTTGAACTAAGCAAGAAGCTAAGTTCTAATCAAATTCAAACACTACCTACCTTAGAAAAATGTGTTTCATTTTTAAGGAGAAGTGGATTTTCAATGTTAAATAAACAAACACATTTAAAGCTTTTCTTACAAATTGAAGTAGATTAAAAAACAAGTTTATTTAGGAGTAGAATAATTTTATTGAAAAACATGGTCTTAAGTGACTTTCAGTTTTTAAATAAATATTCCAGAGAATCTGGAAATCTGGAGAATAATGACTTTACACTAATCTAACTGAAGAAAGGCTGCCTGACAATGAAATACTTTACTAATATGATGCTGACAATCTATCTCTTCAATTAGGTATCTATATACCAGATAATTTTTGAGAGTGAAATTCAAACTACGAAATAATTTATTTTTTCTCATACCTACTTTTAAAAGTTTTTGAAGCCTGGTTAATCTTAAGTATTCCATTTTCTCAATTAATAAGTGATATTAAATTTTTTGATCCCTCTATTGCTCCCAACAACCCAGCTAAATATGAAACAATAGAACTTTCAAAAGATTTAATCAAGAAAACTACCACAAAAATAAAGCAGGGAAAAAGGAAGTAATATGCTTACTTTTACATAAAGTATATATCCCTTAACAGCTACAACAACTGCAGCTGGGTTTACAGTGAGGCATGCACTCCACTGTCAAAGGCAATAAATATATAAAACAATAAACTTATTAGGGATGATGTGACTAATTGCATTTTGGGGAATAGGATCTCATTTTCAAACAATGCCATTCAAAACACACACACACACACACACACACACGCAGACACATGCACACAGGAATATATATTTTGCATTCAAGTGGAAAGGAGTAAATCACAATTGTGCAAACAGCTTAATAGCACCTAAAAATTAGGTACTGCAGAGATTAAAATCCATGGTCCTTCTAGCTCTAAATTATTGTTTTCTCTTTTAAGTTAAAGATCCTCTTCATCTCCTTCCCTCTGGAACATCTCTCCACAATATTTTTAATTTTTAATTCCACAATATTTTTTTAACTCCACAATATTTTTAATTCTATTATAGACCTCCTATTCATTCACGTATACTCTATTTCTTCCTTATCAAGACTTCAAAGCTTTCCCTTTGCAGGATTCCGAAGCATTCAAACCTATCCTCATCTAGCTCCAAAGAGTCACTTTAAAGCCTTTTATCTCTGACCATTTCTCAAATTTCTCAATAGGAACTCTCAACAAATGAAGTCACTGGCATAGAAAATGCCAAATTTCTCCTTCAGTCTTATATTTGTCTGTGCCCTGGAGGGGCCATTTCCCCTCATTCATTTAAGATGACTCAAATTCTATACAAACTTCAAACACTAACCTTATCTGCTCCATAAAGTCTTTCAAATCACATTAACTCTCTATATTATTTATTTAGTTCTACACAATTTTAAGAAATGTCTTATTTTAAATCATTATTGGATTTATATCTAGTCTACTCAACTAGAGTTTAAATCCTCATAAACAGGATTTTCATCTTATTGACATCTTTACAACTGTCACACAAAGAGACTATTCAAAAATTATTTGTTCTACTGAAGAAAAATCTTACATTCAATCAACAAAGTCAGACTTCTGCAGAATTTCCAAAAGTCAAGGTTTCACATTATTAGTCAGAACCATTCACTTCACAATAATTATATTACTTAATTTAAACATAACTGATGGGCATGGTGGTGCATGCCTGTAGTCCCAGTGGCTGAAGCAGGAAGACTGCAAGTTCAAAGCCAGCCTCAGCAACTCAGCAAGACCCAGTCTCTAAATAAAATACAAAAGTGGGAGGGAGCTGGGTATTGGCGCCGTGGTTAAGCATACCTGGTTTCAATCCCCAGTACCAAAATACAATAATTTAAACACAACAAATAACTGAAGTCCTTCATTTTGGATGAAGAAATTTTGGCCCAAGGATATTAAACAATTTAATCCATCCAATGGCCATTTATTAAACATCTATATACAAAGCTTACTATATAGTGGATATACAATAATGCCTAACTACTTAAGAAACTAATTATATTAATTATAATGAATTATTTTTTTAAATGGAGCTATAAAAAAACCACATAACTGAAATCTTTCCTCAGGTAACAAATCAAAGTGTGATTTTTCCATCAGGATGGATTTTTAAAGTTGGGTTACAAAACACTTCTCACACAAAGTGAAAAATTGACTTCTTCAGTCTTTATTCCATCAGAATAAAATTGAAAATGCAGTAGCAATGTGTGGCGGCATAATCTGAGGTACAATTCATGGATGAAAATAATCCAGCAGGCAAAGTAGGAGTTTTATTAACAATTTGTGAAAAGTGGTGACATTCCAATAAAACATTTTCATTGGTCTATAGTTTGAGTTGGTAGTGATAAACTGCCATCTACTGGATGTTCACTGAACTACATGAACAAATTAAGGTTGTTTCCAAAGCACATTCCAAAGTCATCAAGATAGTTACAATTTTTAATCCTATTTTAAAATGCCGAGATAAGAAACCAGTTTATATAGTTTCCTATTCTAAAATTATTAACATAATAGTACAGCAGTGTACTGATGGCAATTCTAAAATTGTATATTGTCTACCTTTTTAAATGACTTCAGAATCCTGAAATGAAACTGAAAGCTCTTGCTTTGTAGACTGTAACTGCAAATACTTTACATTTTATCTGTAGATGAGATGTGCACTTACAGCACATTCTTACAGCACTGATATACTTCCAAGGTAAGGCTATTACAGAAACAATACCATTCCAGAAGAATACAAATAAAAGCTGCCAATGCACATAACAGGATGGAAGCATTTCTATCTTGCATAAACATTAGGTTCAACAAAACGAATACACAAAGATGTACATATACTCAGTTCTATGTATCGCAAAACTCCGGCAATTCAGTTATCTGTTAGGCAACCATGAATTCCAAATGGTTTATTTTGATTTCTCGATTTCAGGATGGAAAACTTTAAGATCACACTACCTCATCTATGAGCAATTTACTGACAGATTAAGAGACGAGAGTATAGCATTCATGCTGTATTGTTTCTCTAGGTCACTGCAGCTTTTTACAACGGGTTTCTCAAACTCAAAAAGTCCCAGTTTCACAGACTTCAAGGCCCTACGATGAAGGCCTTCCTGCCTTCACAGAGAGGACAAGTTAACATCATCATTCTCTGTGAAAGCCTGCCCAGCCCTCAAAATTGGGTTACACAACACCTCTACTTTTGCACAAAATAATAGAAGCACCAGTGCAACAACCAGACCCGGCTCATTCAGGCTGCCTTGGCCCATGAACCCTAGTTCTGAAGTCGTCCAGGACGACCCTAAGCCTCCACAGTGTCCAGGCTGTCTATAGAGATTCCCTTGGGAATGGTATAAGTCTTTAGGCTGCGCCCACAGAGACCCAGGGCCCAGGCCGGGCCCGAAGCCAAGGCGAGGCCCGGGACGCCCTTGGAGGTTAATCCGCTCGATAGCAAGGGCTACGGAGCGCTGGGGGGCGGCACTGAGGTGGGACTTAGAAGAGGGCGAGGTGACCTTTCCGGTGGGTTTTCCCAGAGTGGTGCCAGTCCCTAAGAGAGCTCGGAGAGATCCTGTATGAGTCTCACCAGCCCCCGCGGGAACCCGCTACTCACCCAGAGGAAGAAACAGCAGCAGCAGGAACCTTCAGCCGGCCTTGCACAGGAAGGAAATGCCGCCTGGGAGAAAGCGCTTCCGGCGGAGCCGCGGCCCGCCCCCTACACTGAGCGTGCGCGAGCCGCGGCGCAGGCCCCGAACGAGCGCTGTGGTGTCCTAGAAATGGCTTGTCGCTGCATGCGAGTGGGTTCGCGTACCTCGTGCTTTCTCTGGTACTCGCTGAGCTGAGTCTTTCCGTAAAGCCAGAGTGTCTGCAAGCAGCTTTCCAGGGATCAGAGCTGTGTCTCAGATTGAATTGGAGAAGGCGCTTATCACCATAAAGTCCTTGCCCTGTTGGCCTGCTGGGAGCAACACTAACAAATAAGGGAGGCTTCTTGAGAACGCAAAGAACAAAAATCTTTTTCCTGACGCCAGCTGATTTTGACTCTTTCCCATCACCCCATGCAGTTCCTTGCGCTGCTGCTCTGTCTAGCCAAAGCTCGACGCGCATGGCCACCCCTCACCATCTGTCTTAGTTTTTAGAGTGAGCTCACCCTGCTCTCCCATTTTTGTACTGACAAACACCTGGGGGTGGCGCCTGAAAAACCTTTGACGAAATGACTGAGCAGCCCACGCAGGCAGGACTAGCAGTTGGGACGGAATAGGGTATTTGATAATATATATTTTTATTTCTCTCACGTATTTTTACTTCTCCACCACCACCACTCCTTTCCTTTTTTTTTTTTTTTTCCTTATCCTCTAGAATGAGCGACGTGACACTAGAGGTCCTAAGGGAACAAACTGAAAGCCATCTGATTACACAGACTGCCTGGGGGCGAGATGGGGCGAGATAACATTAGCCCTGTCCCCAGATAAAAGAGGCATCACTTCCTTTAGATAGAGGTGGTGAGACTATAAAGTCATGAGACAATTCCCTTCCATATTTTCCTCGGAAAGGCAGTTTGTATCTGTCTGCTGTAGGGATCGTCTTGGATAGCTAAAGAATTCTGCAGCCTGATTATTGAATTAGCAAATGCTACCACTGTTACAATCTTGTAATATTGTAGTATATAGTTCATTGACAAGAATAGAATGGAATTTAATACTATAAGCGGTTAATGTTTTACATCCAGACCTTTTTTGTTTTTAAGGCTTCCTATATATGTGTCTATATTCTTAATTTTTTTTAAAAAAAAGTAATGTGGGGGCTGGGGATGTGGCTCAAGCGGTAGCGCGCTCGCCTGGCATGCGTGCAGCTCGGGTTGGATCCTCAGCACCACATACAAACAAAGATGTTGTGTCTGCCGAAAACTAAAATAAATATTAAAAATTCTCTCTCTAAAAAAAAAAAAAAAAAGTAATGTGAAGCTAGGTTTGGGAATACTAGATGAAGATAGGTCTTTAAGAACAGGATATTATGAAGCCAGGAAAATGTTCACAAAAAAGCAGAGGACATCAGTGCTTAGCAGGCTTGGCTTGGAAGAGACTCTCCGCTGGTTCTCTGGGATGATCCCAAACTTAAGTCATTGCTTGGGAGGTTCACAGGGATATGATTTGACAAGGCCCAAAAGAAGGTGTTATGAAAGTAAAAAACTTTAGGTTTTGAGGCCAACTAGGGTAATCATAGCCCCTAGTAAGAAAAATGAACTGAGAAATTCAAGAAGGCAAAGGATTATCATTATTTACTGTGAAACTTCTTCAACTAAGCAGCTTACCTGCCTTACTCTCAGGACCGGGATGACCAAACCTATCCAGTTTGCTTGAGAGTGAAAGGATTTGGGGAATGCGGGTTTTCTTCAAATTTTTTTTTTTTTTTTTTTTTTAGAAATATCTGTGAGCTGCACTACCCAATTCCTCTACCCTCTATCCCAACTGCTTCCTGGGGGAGCAGTAGCTCCCCAACTCCTGCTGTCTTGAATGCATGGCCTTGTTTGCTATGTGCACATGCCCAGCATGGGGGTTTTCAATGCTAAAACACACCCTATACTAAGGACATACTAAACAAGTCCTATCCTGAAGTGGAGCTCTCAATATTTAAATCTACTTTCAGTTCATCTACCTAATATCTGAGGAAAGTTTTCACAGGAAAGGAAACTGTTGGGTAAAAAAAAAATCAAGGCTGATCAGGAATAGTTTAGTCCAAAATAAATGCTGCTGCTCATTCCTACCTAGTGCTTTGCCTTTACCTTTTGGATCTAATGTTTCCTTGTAGTAAATCCTTAGGAAATTTCTTATGTCTGGGCCCTAACACATCACATTAGTGTCTTTCTATGTACTATGCACATTCATTTCCAGCAATCACTAAATCAAGTATGTTCTTCCAAAATAGAGAGAATGAACATATGCTTTTCGTCCCAGGATAGCTTTATATAATCCCTGGCAACACAGAATATCACATTTGGCCCACAGTAGGGATTCAATAAATAATTCATTATGTGCAGTATTAATCAGGAAATTATAACTTTTTGGCCTTTGCTCCTTTTTAGAATCAGTATTATAAATAATTATAGTTACTGAAGGAAAAAAAAAAAAAAAAACTACACCAATTCTTCTTGAAACAGTTATAACAGTTCTCCCCTATGGAACCAAATTTTCTGTGTTCCTTAGAAGGTAGGAGTGGTTAGTTTGCTCTGCAGCTTAGATCAATGCACTGAATACCTAGTGGGAAGAGAGTCCTTAGATTGGCTGTTCTTCAATTTTATTGTGTGTAGATTCACACAGATAGCTTGGCAAAATGCAGATTCCTGGCTCCTAAACTTAGAGGCTCCCATCCAACTGTTCTAGTTTGGGCCCAGATCTGCAGTTTTATGAACCATCTGAGATCTCTGTCATGTGAGGATATGATAAGAAGATGTCTTTCTGCAGGCCAGAAAGAATGCCTTCACCAGACAGACCATCTGCCAGTACCCTGATCCTATACTTCCCAACCTCCGGAATGGTGAGAAATAAATTTCTGTTGGTTAAGCCAATCAGCCAATAAACAAACTGACAAACAACTGAGATGATTCAGGTATAAGTAGTTCTGCCCTAGTCAGTGAAAATTTTAGATGTATATTTGCAAAAATCTATCACCCTATCTCAAAAGGCTTATCTGGTCATCTGAACCAGTAAGCCAACTGAGATACATTAAGAAATTAAATCAAGAAGGCTTTATGAGGACATTTGGAGTAAGATCCCTTTGGAATAAAACAATCTTTGGATAAGTAAACACAATAAACCTGACTCTATTTGTTGCTCATTAGAAATAATTCACTTGACAGTGATTTGGAAAGAGCAGAATAAATAAATGAAATTATATAGCAGTGATCAGTATAATAGTAACCTTGTTCCTTTTCAAGTATTTTATCAGAAGGGAATAATCTTAATTATTATTTTGACAAGGTAAATGAATGGATGAAGAAAGAAAAATAAAACAAGAATATGGAGCTATACCTGAAGCTATGAAAGCACTGAAAAAGACCAAGATTATATACTTGAGCTCCAATAGAATAAGATAGAATCAGGGCAAAAATAGTGAAAAATTTGATGTTGGGGTTGTGGCTCAGAGGTAGAGTGCCTGCTTCACATGTGTGAAGCATTGGGTTTGATCCTCGGCACCACATAAAAATAAAATAAGCAAAATAAAGGTATTGTGTCCATCTATAACTAAAAAAACATATTTTAAAAAATAGTGAAAAATTAAAATTTCAACTGATTGGAACAAGTGGAAAGATAAATTGATAACTCCATTCTATAGAAAGCATGGAGAGCTAAAAGACAACATTAAAATTCAAAGAACATATAGTTGTAAATCTACTTTTCATACTTTTATGTTTTTTAAACTTTTACACATAGTATAATAAGTGTACATGAAAATTAGTTTTTATTCATCGGGGTAGTACTAATCCATCTTACATTTTTATGTGACACTTTTTTTCAAGCAGTACTGCCAATTGTGTGTGTATGTGTGTGTGTGTTTTAACACAGATTGGATTCGGAGGTACTTTATCACTGAGCTTCACCCCTCATCCCTTTTTGTTTTTTTATTTTGAGACAGGCCCTCTCTAAGTTGCTGAGGCTCACCTTCAATTTGGGATCCTCTTACTTTACCCTGCTGAGTTGCTGAGATTACAGGTGTGTGCCATGGCTCCTGGCCCAGTTTTATGTTTTTTAGAGTTACTGCTACAAAAAACATTTTCTAGAATTTAGATATTTATTTAAAAATCTACAGCATTTTGTTGTTCAGCTTTCCTACAGTACTGAAAATATACTGTTCAAATGATACTTTTCAAAGCTGGGTGCAGTGATGCTCACTTGTAATCCCAATGGTTTGGAGGCTGAGGCAGAAAGATTTCAAGTTTGAGGCCAGCTTCAACAATTTAGCAAGGTCCAAAGCAACTTAGTGAAACCCTGTCTTGAAATAGAAAAATACAAAGCAAAGGGCTGGGGCTTGATCAAATACAAAGCAATGTAGCTCAGTGGTAAAGTATCCTTGGGTTCAATCCCTGGTACCAAAATAAACCAACTTTCCATGAAAAATCAGGATTGCCAGTTGCTGCACACGCCTGTAATCCCAGCAGTTTGGGAGGCTGAGACTAGAGCCAGCTTTAGTAACTTCAAGGTGCTAAGCAACTCAGTGGGACCCTGACTCTAAATAAAATTCATAATAGGGGTGGGGATGTTACTCAGTGGTCAAGTATCCCTGAGTTTAATCCCTGGTACCCCCCACCCCCCAAAAAAAAAGAAGTTAGGATTGATGAAAAATGGAATTGCTTCAAGAAAATGGCTAACTTTTCTATAGCCTCATTAGGAAAACTTCAGGCATAAATAAAAAGTGAAGTTCATCTGAGACCTTCATACAATCTCTTTCATATTTTTTTAATGGAAGATGAGGGAAGGGTAAGAATAACAAAGATATAAATTCATTAGCCAAAATAGAAGAATCAGTAGTTGAAATGTTAATTCTCAATTCCTGTAACAACAGATTGATAGATGAGGCATAAAACAAGACCAGATGCTGTGGTTTCCAGGATGCACTTGACTTCCCATCCTTTATAACCTGGAGCAATTTTTGCTGTAAGTAGGTCACTTGCTTGCTCTCATTTACCTGATTCTAGGAAAAT